GCCCGGAGAACTGACTGGCCGAGACGATGTATCCAAACTAAGATGCCAGACCTGAACGATAGCCCGGACATCCACAATATTCGTGCACCGCACCACATAGTACCTCGTATTCGTGTCCGTGTGTCGTCTCAACCCTTCCCTCGCACTACAACTAAACGTAACTTAATGGCCCGAAACTACACTGTGCAGCAAGCTAGGAGCACATGTGTTTCAGAATAAACCGCTGGGTGCGTACGAACGCGTTTCAAAGCATGACAAGAGGAAATACGAGTCTATTTGCCCTGTCGTCGTTGCCACGTCAGGCTTTTCCAAAAAATTGCGGTTCAGATGCGTGCCACATCAAGATGGGCTTTATCGCCGCCTGAAGTTGGACTTGCTTCATCCGTGCATACTTGAAAGCTGCGATGAATTTTACTGCGAACTTAGCCCTGACAGACTTGATCTCTGCCATCTCTATGCACATGTTGCCTGCACGCTCACTCCAAGCTGTTGCAGAGAAATCCTGCATCATCCCAATTTTCAACAGATGGTAGTAACATTCTCTAAAACAGCGTTCCTCAAAAGATAGTTCGAAGCCAGCGGGCAACACTACGGCAAGTTCACAAGGCTCCAAGCAATTGCATACACCTAGTATGCTTTTGAAAACACATCGGCAAGTGCCTTCAGGTTAAGAGCGATCAGCAATGGTGTGTCTGTAAAGTAAATAAAAAATCTTAAAACTCTATGAGCTTGTCCGGTTAATTTGATGGAAAATAACGCCGATTTGGGCATAACGGAAGTCAATTAATGTTCCCGGAAACACTCCCATCTTTGCCTAGGTTACGTATGTTTGTGGTTTTGTTTTTATTTGGTGTTTTCTTGTACAGAAAGTTCTGCTAATGTTGTCAGGAGGATATCGCATTACCATATTTGCAGGCGCCGAAGTTAAACTGATGTCGACAAATCGAACATATGGAGGAGTTTCACCTTAGTGACTTTGGGTTGGTGCGCTTTCCAAATATCTAATTCGTTTTCATTTACTTAAGCTTATAACATCAAGTCTTGTACGCTTGAAGATTTACCAGCAAAGCGTAGTTGTTTTCGACCGCTCCTCATTTATTTCAACATCTTTATTCAACACCTTGTCTGCCAAGTTTGTGAGCTATCTCGTTGCTTTACGACTTCGCCCCCAGCTTTCGAGTTTGTCCTTATGGAAAATGACCGATTTGTCCTCATGGAAAAATGAAAAATGACTGTCCTTATGAAGAATGACTTATGGAAAATAACGCTTTGAATATGAAGTATCCGTAGGGAAGTCTCCAACTAAGACCTAATGTATCCGATTGAGCGACTTCAGCGGTGTCTGTGATCATCTGCCAACATTTGTCTGGATGTCTGGCTCCTCTGGTGGCCACTGTTCAGTCCGCGTCTGCCCGCTGCGCTGCTGGCCGACCCCAACGCACAGCGTCTCTCCGCCCCAGGAAACAAGCACTGCCTGGCTGTTTACGCTTGCTGAGAAGGGCCCGGAGATGGAGTATCAAAGACGCTGCACGGTCCCATTTCGCCAGGGAGAACGAGGCGACGGCGGGAGACGAGCTGGGCAGACGGGTGCGCGGCGAACCGAATCATCTTCGGCAGATACACCGGTCCAAAGTCGCGCCAAGTCCACAACATAATGATAGAAATGACGAGCACATCCGGGCTCAACAGGCGGATGCAAGGAGAAGCCGATCACGCAATTGGAGTTAATGTCACGAGCACACGTGGGAATATGCGTTTATTGCAAACATGGCATGGATGTAGACACGCCCGCCCATCCGTCAATACGGGCTTAGCTTGTTTATTGTCAAGATCGAGTTAAATCATGTGTGCCTTCATTGGGTCAGGTTGCGTTCGTTCTGTTTGCGAACTTGGCTTATTTGCATCATTACCATGACGATGGCAATTACTGTTGCCTGTGCCTTCAAGGGTGGACGACAGTACTTTCCGCTTACGACACTGAGCTGTAGGTGACAGCGGGGTGAACTACATCACGTGCAAGTAGTGTCGGGGTGGTTTAATCCAAACGTACTGGACGAATGACAGTCTCCAGCCTTGGAGCAACACGCTGGTAGCTCACTTGCTCTATCTTTTAGTTTACTTCCGACCGCATACCTGCCAGCGTTTTGGGGTGGACGAGACACTAGAGCTGTTTTCTGCGTAGGATTGTTAACTGCAGAGACATGTGTAAATGGACGCTAGGGAGGTACGACGTAACTAAGACAATCTGAATGCTGCACTGAGTGGTGGGGAAGCATACACGGCGTATCTACCGCGTGGTATTTGGCACCTGTTAGCTAACGACTATTGTGTGGCGCGAGCTTTTTCCAAGATGTTGGGTGATTCATGTACCAGCAGTGCATGAGGCTAGTTGTATCGTTGCTACCATGGTACAACACTATGTCGTCGACTGAATTACTGTCAATGATTGGCCGACATGAGTGTCATAACTTATTTTCGTCCAGACAGCCAGTTGACTTTTACATTTCCTACGTAGATCTATGATTTATACCTGAACAACCGAAACCAAGGTGACAGGAGTCATGTCACAAACACTGACTGATTAAAAGCAAAAGTTTGTGCCGTCGCAATCCCAACGAACTAGGAAATAACACAGACGAGCATATTTGGCCTGCATGTCGTAGCGCATTCAGCTTGGTGGCGGTGCAAGTTACTCTAGGAAAAAACATAAGCGCAACTTCTCCCACCATGGGATACAATTTTCCAAGGGTGGGACAGGCTGTTTCATTCGAAAAGAGTTCATTCAGGAGTCATGCGCCAAAAAATAAAGGCGTGCTTTCTAAAATTTTGCGGCTGCATATGAAGATGAAATCTGTTATAGCCTTTATCTTCATTTTCATCCAGATAACAGGGTGAATTTTACGTTTCTTATGTAGATCCATAATTTATACCTGAACAACCAAAACCGAGGTTTCAAAGGTCATGAAACAAACACTGACTGATTAAAAGCAAAAGTTTGTCTTGTCGCAGTCACAGCAAACTACAAAATAGCACAGCCGCAGCTGCAGACTGTCTGTAGAAATCGTGATTTTAATCCTTTGCTAAGTAGTTATAGTAAGAGGGAGATTAGTGTAAAACGGATACAACTCTCCCTACTCTCTCCCATCAGCTATCACCATCATATTGTGTGAGTACATTTTAACAAGAGATTGCGGAGGGCATGCTGGTCATCACATGGCATCTCACTGCTTCAGACATCCCAATACTGCATTGCAATTAAATTTGTTTACTGCGTAAGCTCGTAATACAGGTGATCTCACATCGATAGCGTGTCACTGCTGGTTTTAAAGAACAATCATATCATACTGTATCAAAGACGGCGTTTAGTCTCAGTGCTTCGACATTATGAATTTGGAGTTCCTAAACCAACAAAAATCGACTTTCAGTATGCCAGGAGGTAGGGTTAACCTGCTGCTTCAATGACCTTGTCACGCATGCATCGGTTATATTGTGGAGCCTCGACGTTCTTAAGTGTGCTCATGATCACAAATCATTTCAAATTAAAATGTGTGGAATCTTATGTAATTGTTGTGTTTCCAACATGAAATCCACGGTCACGTCGGTTTTGTTTAAATGCTTGAAAGTTTGGTTCACGGTGTAATTTTTAAAAACAATATCCTGACATTTCCTGCCGTAAGATTTTGAAGTAAGTCATGCCGAAAACTTAACACTTATGACGATTTTTTTCCATTGACCTTACTGTAAGGTATCCAACCTACAGCTTGTTCTGCAGCATATTCTTACCAGGGCCGACGATGTGGCGGCGGGGTGGCCTAGCCTCGATCGCTCGCTCGGCCGAGTGCAAAGCCGGTGCGACACGCAGCCGGGCTATTCAGCTCACGTCGGAAATGCGCAGTGTCTGCTGCAGCAGCTTTGTGACGTCACATCTCGGCGTGCAGCCGCTGTCCAGGTCAAGTCGAATGCCTTGCATCTCGCAACGTGGGGAAAATCGTCATTTGCAGTGGATTTTGACAGAGCTTCTCTTGAAACAGCAGTGGCGGTGTGGTTCACTTTGAAATGAAATTTGTTCTCGGCCTAACTGGAATTCACCGCTTGTCTCAACGGCAACTTGGCATTAACGCCGAAGGCAGCTTTATAAAGCATAGCTAACAGGAACAATTTTTACAATTTGTGATACATAACAATAGTCAATTTATATAGAATAAAGCTTCGCTGCGTCATTGCAAAATTAATTTGCACTATACCCAGCAATATTGGGAAAAGCAAAAATGTAATTATTACATCTTGGCTGGGTCTTCGACAGTAGAGGAAAATGAAACACGTTTATGGCGGACAGGCGCATTAATGGCGAGGTCATAGTACAGTCAGGTATATCATGCGTTCTCAGCAAGCAAATGGGCTGATTTTACAACCAACGTAAGGAAAGCTGCATGACGAAAACGTGGTGCCAATATGATTAGAATAAAGCTAGTAAGACGATTAAATTGCATTAAGCTGAAAGACGAAGCGACAATGGTGCTTGTGGGATGAATGATGGGGCGCGTGGTGATCAGACTGATTCTATTTGCCTTTCAGCTGATGGCGCTCCAGCATCTCCCGCCTCTCAACTGATGGAACTACAGTATCTTCTGCCTCTCAGCTGATGACGCTCCAGCATCTCCTGCCTCTCAGCTGATGGCGCTCCAATCATCTCCTTCCTCGGCCCGTCTATGCCCGACCTCTGGACACAAGTCCTTTCGCGACGTTGCGCATGTCCGAAACAGTGTGCGAGGCCAGCAACCGACGCGGCTGTGTTGGGGTAAGTGGCGACAGCACGCCCGGCTGGGCAGGCGTTTGTGGCCGCGATACGGGGGCCGGTACCGGGTCCGTCTCAGCACAGGTGGCTTGGCCTGTTACCAGCGTCCGCCGCATGTGGGCCCGGCCGGGGGGAGGGCGGAGGGGGGAGGGGGGAGGGGGCGAACCGCTGACAGCCGGCTGCTGCTCGGCCCGCCCCGTCGCAGCCAGGCCAGCTGCCGCCCTACAGCCAGTGACCCTTGCCAGCTGCCGACCCCTCCCCCCCCCCCCTATGTGCGACGTCCAGATCGTGCGGAGACGTAAAACACTGCTCCTGAGTGGGCAGGCGGGAGAGCAAAGCCAGGCCGACATAAAGCGTTTCGGCGACAAGTGCCGCCACGCATTCAAACAGGATAAATATTTCGGAAATTCGAGAGGAAATGTCACATTCAAAAGTCTTCGAGAATGACATTTCGTGTTGAAAACCTTCCACCTGAGTTGGAGAAGTGTTTTCAACAAAGCTCTTTGGAACTCTCCATAATCTAGACTTCTGTGGATGGCAGGTTTTCTTGAAATATATCACAATGCTTTAAAACATTAAACACATTAACCTTCCGTTAAAAAATGACTAATATCGCCCGCCGTAACTAGGACAACACGGCGTGGCCACTCCACCGCCCATGTGTATGACAAATCTACCAACAGACCGCGTCTCTCCCACCATCCCCAAATCCCTGTGGAACAGTCACTTAGTGAACTAGTTGTCCAAACATCATCAGAACAACTTGCGATCTCTGGCCACAAATCATCTGGTATGTCTACATCAATTTCTTTAGCGCACTCCACTTCCTTGTGCGTTGCTTTCAACTATCGATCACGTGCTTTGGATCAGGTCCTGTGAAGCGCATACAGTGTCAGCTGGCTAGATGTGCATAACTGCAGTTACCAGGCAACGCGTTCATTTCAGCAGCTATTTGCGACAGCGGGCTTGTGTGGATGGCTGCCCTGATCCTCAATCCGGTGGACAGCTCAGAGCCGCTGCCGTCGGCCGCTGGGCGCCTTTCGGGCCGGTGGGCGCCTTTCGGGCCGGTGGGCGCCTTTCGGGCCGGCGGGCGCCTCTGAGACCGACGGGCGCCTCTCGGGCCGGCGGGCGCCTCTCAGGCCGCGGCGCCTCTCAGACCGGCGGGCGCCTCCCGGGCTGGCGGACGCCTCTCGAGCCGGCAGGCGCCTCTTAGACCGGCGGGCGCCTCTCAGACCGGCGGGCGCCTCTCAGGCCGCGGCGCCTCTCAGACCGGCGGACGCCTCTCAGGCCGCGGCGCCTCTCAGGCCGGCGGGTGCCTCTCAGGCTGGCGGACGCCTGTCAGACCGGCGGGCGCCTCTCAGGTTTCTTACGCCTCTCAGGCTGGCGGACGCCTCTCGGGCCGGCAGGCGCCTCTCAGGCTGGCGAACGCCTCTCGGACCGGCAGGCGCCTCTCGGGCCAGCGGACGCCTCTCGGGCCGGCGGGCGCCTCTCAGGCCGGCGGACGCCTCTCGGACCGGCAGGCTCTTCTTAGACCGGCGGGCGCCTCTCGGGCCGGCGGGCGCCTCTGAGACCGACGGGCGCCTCTCGGGCCGGCGGGCGCCTCTCAGGCCGCGGCGCCTCTCAGACCGGCGGGCGCCTCCCGGGCTGGCGGACGCCTCTCGAGCCGGCAGGCGCCTCTTAGACCGGCGGGCGCCTCTCAGACCGGCGGGCGCCTCTCAGGCCGCGGCGCCTCTCAGACCGGCGGACGCCTCTCAGGCCGCGGCGCCTCTCAGACCGGCGGGTGCCTCTCAGGCTGGCGGACGCCTGTCAGACCGGCGGGCGCCTCTCAGGTTTCTTACGCCTCTCAGGCTGGCGGACGCCTCTCGGGCCGGCAGGCGCCTCTCAGGCTGGCGAACGCCTCTCGGACCGGCAGGCGCCTCTCGGGCCAGCGGACGCCTCTCGGGCCGGCGGGCGCCTCTCAGGCCGGCGGACGCCTCTCGGACCGGCAGGCTCTTCTTAGACCGGCGGGCGCCTCTCGGGCCGGCGGGCGCCTCTTAGACCGGCGGACGCCTCTCGGACCGGCAGGCTCTTCTTAGACCGGCGGGCGCCTCTTAGACCGGCGGGCGCCTCTTAGACCGGCGGACGCCTCTCAGGCCGGCGGACGCCGCTGGGCACGGACCGAAGCCGCCGCGGCTACCAGGGCGCATCGCTCCTCTCCCGGCTCGGAGCAACACGCTCTTAGCCCGCTCTAAAGCTCTCCATTTCCACTCGGCCAGCCTGCTAAGTGCCGCATTTCTATCCAATATTATACATATGGGAGTGTGGTGTCGATATCATAAATATTGATGGGTGCGGGCTGATGGGGCGTCGGCCCGCTATCAGCCGGGGTCATTGATCGTCACAGCAGAGCCGGGCTCTGGGCTGGGACCTGACACACAGCACAGCACACAAAGGTCTGACACACGGCTGCCATCTGACACACGACACCCGACACAGTGGTCTGGTGTGCCGCGGTGACGCGTCTCAAGGTCTGGTATGGCACACGGCATGCCGCGCAGAGGTCTGACGTACAGGGGCGTCCGGCCGTAACACATGACATACCACGCAGAGGTCTGACGTAATGCATGGCATGCCGCGCGGAGGTTCGACGTAACAAATGGCACACCACGTAGAGGTTTGGTGTGACAAACGGCATACCACGCGAAGGTTTGACGTAACACACGGCACACCACGCAGAGGTCCCATGTAACACACGTCATACCATGCAGAGGTCTGGCGTAACATGGCACGCCGCGTGGAGGTTCGATGTAACACACGACATACCACGCACAGGCCTGACGCACAATGGCGACCAGACATACCGCAATGACGCGACACTGGACACAGTGGTATGACACAACACAGGGACCTAACACCCGGTAGACAACAGACACTGACAGGAGCATGACACACGCCCCTGAACCTTGACCCACGATGGCAAAGATGTATAACACATATGGCTATCATTATCGTAGCACATAAACAAGCACTCAAAAGGGACATGACACACACAACATAAGTCTGGTGACAGCTGAAACCTGACGCACGGTGGCACCTGACACATGAAAGGAGCCTGACGCATCGGACCATGTATAGATGAGAAGGTCCAATACATGGCACGGGTGTCCGACATGGAGATGCTTCTGGCCCATGACACGCACCAAACATGACGTACGATATGGCAGCCTGACTAAACCATGAATTAAACTTAAACCGTGTCGTAGGCCTACGCAGTCGAACCTGAAACACTGTGGCTGCCACACCTCGTGGCACAGTTGAACGATTGACGCAATTATTAGCGTTTTGAATGTTGTCTCCTAACTCTTAGTAAATGCTATGTTCACGAACGTTGGGGAACTTCAGTAAATTGCTAGTCCAGGTTGTTTGTCTCAAAAAAGACACTTTCTATCAGGACAGCATCCAGCGCAAAATTACCTACGGGGGTTGTAAATTAGAAACACGGCTGGTAACTGGTCAGAGCAGCTTTAAAAGCGAGGATTTGGCCTAGTGTTTTCGGCTCAGTCGTTCAGTAATAATGGCTTTACGGCTCATAAAGTGGGCTGTAAATATGGCTGTTTATGGCACATATTAAACCGAGTAGAATGACTTGAGAACACACAAGGTGTTCTTGTGTTACGATCGGGTGTAAGAACACCGAGTGGGCGCGATCAAATCAATGCGATTTTTCGAACGACCGTAATTATCTATCCAAGAGGCATCGACCGCGGGTGTCAAAGCCACCAGTCAGGTACTTTGCGCTGAACCTAATGGCCACCCTGAAAACAGCCTGCGCAGGCACGATCCCACACTTTGATACTGCGCATTGCCTTGCACGTCCTGTTCGGTGTCTTAGGTGCACGTGCACAGACGACACGCTTACGACCTCCCCGTACGGCTGTCGGCACTGCGTGTTGATCGGCGCCAGGTGCGCGCGCGTGGCTGCAGGACCGGGCGTGCAGCCCGCTACACCCCTGCCGCCATCAGCTGATGTGATTGATCGCATGCTCTCCCCTCGCTTCACGGACGACCAGCGCCGCCTGGTCGCCGAAGAATTACCGCCGATCATCCCGTCGTTATGGAGGCCATTACGGCGCGATGGAACAGGACGCATTGCAGCCATAAGCGACTAATTATGGGCGAATATGATTACGGCCGTCACTTGAGAGGCGGATCCCACTTAATTAATTGTGGCGGATTGGCTTGCCGGGCGGTCCATTGTGGTTACGGGTTGGGAGCTCCCTGGCTTCGTCGTGGGTTCCAGGGGTACGGACCATGTGCGCGCGCAAATGGCGCCGCACGCTGCCTGTAATTGATTCGGGACAGACGACCCGGCATCATGAACTTTATGCATTCTGGTGGAAGAAACGCATGAAAAAGTGTGGCATGGGGAAAAACTCGTGAAACGAATGTACCTTCTTACGAATTAAAAGTTTTTTGTTGTATGCTCAGCGTTTCCGCGGCACCAGTCCTCACCATGCATGGTCTGGTAGGCTGGATAATCTTAAAGCTCTCAGAGTTTAAAATTACGGCGTAATTTATTCAGTTAAGCAAAATTGGGCACAAGTTGTGTGCTTTGTGACACGGCATTGCCATGCTTCGTGAATATTTGCCATTTTTGGTGGAAAACATCACGCCTTAGGTGGCGATTAAATCCGCGTGATGTACGTCGAACCCATTACGGCCACCACCGCCGCGCAAAGAGCCTGACGCGGTGCCTGCTGAACCAGCAGGGCGGCAGCAAGGCAAGGCTGGCCTGTTTGTCTGGAGGAGTCTCGGATCATGGAGGCGTCTCACCGTCCCGCTGGCAACAGTTTGCACATACAGGTGTACAGTGAGCGGTGACCAGCTGGTTGTGAGTCAAGGCGTCAGCTAGGGGGGGGGGGGCTGCCAGTGGTGGGCTGCACTGCCGCCGGGTACGGACCCCGTCCAAGACGCCCTCCTCCGCGTCGGCTCGGGGGGTTGCTGGTGTTGAGCTACACCACCGCCGGGTGCGGGATCCCCTCCCAGACGCCCTCCTCCGCCTCGACTCGGGGGGTTGCTGGTGTTGAGCTGGACCGCCGCCGGGTGTAGAGCCCGTCCCAGACGCCCTCCTCCGCGTCGGCTCGGGCTCCGCGGCGCCGCCCGTTCCGGGGCGGGGTCGTGTTCCGCTTGGCTGGTGCCTGGCGCGCGCGATACGGGGCCGCAGTCCCGTCGTCCCTCAGCCGACTATGTGGAGCT